GCCGGCCTACTGGGGGTGCCAGGAGCTGTGGGGAGAGTGGAGATGCTTGCTTCCGGCTGCCGTTTGCCCCTCCCCCAGGTACATCTGAGGAGCACTTAAAGGGCCAGTTTTCTTTTTGTGCGTGTGTGTGTGTGTGTGCTTTTCCTGCCGTCAAAAATTTGCTGATTTCTACAGTTTTCCGGATGCTTAAGTTCCGGATAGCGCAGGTTTTACTGTACTAGATGAAGACTGCTCATTTGGAGCTCCATTGCACTGCCTTCCTATTTGTTCTTTCCACAGTCCCCTATTAAGCTACATCAATAATTACCTTAATACAGGAAAGATTCACAATCAGCTATACAATAAATCCCCTTTGAGTGACTAATATCCCATACAACCTTTATAAAATTATTAATACCTAAATGTTCTTAGATTACACATTAGTTCCTTCAGTATTTATATGTCATGACAGGGAATTGTTCAAACCTGAATGGCATTCGAACCATGCCCACATAGTCACAACACCCAAAGCAGGAAGTAGGCCCAGCCCCAAAAGTGCAAAGGAACCACCATTGCCCATGCCTGAGGTGAATGAAGACTTCCGCACAACCCTAGGATCCAACCCCACAGGATACAAGAGCTGCCTTGCTTGAGGTAAGTGTGCAGGACAGGCTTGCTCTCCAGCCCCAACCCTACTCTTCACTCCTTGGAGCTTGTCTCTCTACCAGGCTGGGATTAGGATTGTGATATAGGTGCAGAGGGTACAGAGATAAGTAGTCATTCCCTCTCACTTGTCATATAAAGGTATAAGTCCTTCAGCTATATATAATTTACAAGCCATTCAAGACTCCACTTTAAGAATTCTTTTCCAATCACACAAAACCAGCAATATTAGAAAAAGAGCAAACCAGAACTTAGTTATAACAGTCTCAAACTAACCACCATCGACTGCTATTTTACCACTGCTCCGTCTGTATCATTCAATTTTTATTCTTATAAGGTTTTCCTCTTGGAAAGCAAAACTTGACCCCTTTATTGGCAAGAAATCAGTTTGACTTGGAAAGAAGGGAATATATCCTGTTCACTTAGGGTATGTCTACACTACAAAGTTAATTCGAACTAACAGCTGTTAGTTCGAATTAACTTTGTAGTGTAGACATACCCTAAGTGAACAGGATATATTCCCTTCTTTCCAAGTCAAACTGATTTCTTGCCAATAAAGGGGTCAAGTTTTGCTTTCCAAGAGGAAAACCTTATAAGAATAAAAATTGAATGATACAGACGGAGCAGTGGTAAAATAGCAGTCGATGGTGGTTAGTTTGAGACTGTTATAACTAAGTTCTGGTTTGCTCTTTTTCTAATATTGCTGGTTTTGTGTGATTGGAAAAGAATTCTTAAAGTGGAGTCTTGAATGGCTTGTAAATTATATATAGCTGAAGGACTTATACCTTTATATGACAAGTGAGAGGGAATGACTACTTATCTCTGTACCCTCTGCACCTATATCACAATCCTAATCCCAGCCTGGTAGAGAGACAAGCTCCAAGGAGTGAAGAGTAGGGTTGGGGCTGGAGAGCAAGCCTGTCCTGCACACTTACCTCAAGCAAGGCAGCTCTTGTATCCTGTGGGGTTGGATCCTAGGGTTGTGCGGAAGTCTTCATTCACCTCAGGCATGGGCAATGGTGGTTCCTTTGCACTTTTGGGGCTGGGCCTACTTCCTGCTTTGGGTGTTGTGACTATGTGGGCATGGTTCGAATGCCATTCAGGTTTGAACAATTCCCTGTCATGACATATAAATACTGAAGGAACTAATGTGTAATCTAAGAACATTTAGGTATTAATAATTTTATAAAGGTTGTATGGGATATTAGTCACTCAAAGGGGATTTATTGTATAGCTGATTGTGAATCTTTCCTGTATTAAGGTAATTATTGATGTAGCTTAATAGGGGACTGTGGAAAGAACAAATAGGAAGGCAGTGCAATGGAGCTCCAAATGAGCAGTCTTCATCTAGTACAGTAAAACCTGCGCTATCCGGAACTTAAGCATCCGGAAAACTGTAGAAATCAGCAAATTTTTGACGGCAGGAAAAGCACACACACACACACACGCACAAAAAGAAAACTGGCCCTTTAAGTGCTCCTCAGATGTACCTGGGGGAGGGGCAAACGGCAGCCGGAAGCAAGCATCTCCACTCTCCCCACAGCTCCTGGCACCCCCAGTAGGCCGGC